ATTAAAATTTGTATTAAGAAAATAGATATTGAGGATGCAGATCAGATGTAAGGTAGGGGACAGCTGTACGCTCTTGTGAACACGGCAGTCAACCATCTGGCTACTTGAACTATTCGTCGTATATCGCAGATGCCCCTTTTAATGGCTTGTTTCCATGGAAATGTGTAATTTGCTTTGTTTAAAAATCGCAAATAATTAACATCTGTTCAGAGGTGGCACTTCTTTTACTGATCTCAGTACTAAATAAATCTAATCTATAAGGTACATAAATTACGAAAATAATTATTTAATTTCGTGGCAATTACGGTAAGCCTGAGCTATGTAATGTGTGGTATATGGGATGTTAGCAGAGGGGTTTCCCAGAGGGCTCAGACAACTTTGTATGCCTCAAAACCTTTATGATTTGGCCACGCAGTTAGCAAGACTGCGTATGCATCGAACCAACAACGCTAGCCGATGTAATCAGATTGTAGGTAATACAAGCAAAGGCCAAAATTTACAGCATCAAACTTTGAATTCGTTTTGAAATCTGGACTCCCCAAGCTACTTTCAACTGTTTAGTGGGCCATCTGTTTTTCTCTACAACAATATAAAGGCGTAAGAAGGTGTGGAGTTAACAAGATTAATACGATTAGTATGAGGTAGGCTATTTGTGACCTGTTCTTAAAGATTCTGGATATGCTACACTAGTACATACAGGGGGTTGTAGTTAAGCCCCTCTTGCATGTGAAGCAAGTGTCTGGACAGGTGACAGCGTCACTTCCGGAACCAATAAACATCCACTCACTGGATCCCTTAGGGGTGCAGAGGAACTTAAGAGTAGTGGTTACCATCAACACCATATTGTAGACAAACGGTAGGGGAAAATATGTGAATGACAACGTCAGCTTACGTTCGTAGGAACTAGCAGCAATATACAGAATTTAAAATATGTCAGACGTCAGGGAATACTCGTACGTAACTGTCATCACTACGATGTCACCTCGTTCATACAAGAATATTCGTCTTACAGTTTTCATGTTGTGTGTACATCAGCGGTATTCAACCTTTTTTGTTCGCGTACCCCCAGATATAATTTCTCTTCAACTTTGTACCCCCAAATGCGTATAGTTCAAATTATACGTAGTATATAATCTACATCTAAAATAAATTACATTACTGATTATTCAGTGTTTATCATAATTTTTTTAATTTTTACGTACCCCCAGGGGTACGCGTACCCCAGGTTGAACACCACTGGTTTACATCATGTATATGAAGACGGGCGTCTTTTCATTCGACGCTATATAGTCTGAGCTTCTGGAAAAGCGTTGTTAAATAAACTATAAATAAATAATAAAAACTGAGTTGTAGCGCTGTGTAGTCTTGTAGACCCTGACTGGATTCAGAGGAGCTTACTGCCGCCGTCGTCAGGGTCACTCTTCTCATTCTCTCCCTGCCTCATCTCTTCTTACGTTACGACTTTACTCCCTTGTTCTTTATTCTCATTTTAATTCATCCATCCTCTTCTCGTTTTGTTCTCCTTTATCTCTCTTCCTTCAGTTCTCTGTCTTCATCTTCCCTCTTCTTCGTACGTCTGGCCTGTCGCCTACTGTCGGTGTTTCTCAACATTTCCACTTCTGTGTCTGTAATGACGTAGGAGAAGGAGTCTCAAGACCTTTCACTGATCAACAACAACAAACACTTTCTGGTTTACGATAATCTGTAGCCATCCAAGGTCATCCGTATGCGTAAAAAATTGAAAAGGTCAGCTAATAAAGAACTGTAATTTAGAAAGCGCAGAGGACAATGTATTGTTTATAATTTGTAAATATTGTACTCTTACGCCATGTAGGGGCTGTGCTGCCATGTAAGTTTAGTTAGTAATATTGTGACATGAAGTTGATTCTTAGTTTCTGTGACAGTGTAAATCAGAATTTGAAAGTTTTATTTTCGTATTTTCTTTCCACGTGTGTGTCCTTAAAACTCGTCGTATTTTACACACACGACCATTTCCTTTACGGTAGTAGAGAGCACCGAATTAAACCCACGGCTGGCCTTGCTTTACTGATGAACTGTTATGTTGTTCTGGTGATTAGCGGGCGCCTCAACTAGCTGGTGATCCTGTTTTCCTAACGTTGTTGTTTTTCTTGGGTTGTGATGCCATGTGGTCTTTGGCAACCGCAGTCTGGACCTCAAATCTTCCACCTGAGGATGGTTTCTGTTTTATCCTATTGTTTTCAACGGTCCTCATTCCTTGAAAGGCTCTGCTCTTTTAGACTTTGATGTATCTCCCACTTTTATGTGTTCGGTGATTCAGGTCTTAAGCCGTCGTCCTGAATCTCCTATATACCGGGTGTCCCAAAAAAGATGTATATAAAATGCTGACGTGTGTAATGGTTATGTGCATACATATTTATGGGACAACCTGTATTTTCTTGGCATAAACGGAGTTTTCTCTCAGCGATTTTCTTTGCAATCCTTTTCATTTTCTGTTGTACCGTCGGAAGGCATATAAATAAAAGACGAAAATATTTCTGCTTGTATGCAGGCTGTTATTTCATGTCTCAACGTTCTAGTGTTCGACTTTGGCCAGGCATCTCACCTATCATTTTCATCGTCCACTACATTAGGGGCGTGGTTTTGAGGGTTCAGACCCCCACTTCAGGAAACACTCCGCAGTGTACGGGAACATTTGATGACAACATTGATCGTCGCAGTTCATTTAAAATTCCTACATCTCAAACGGTAGTGCATCTATAAAATTTTAGCTCAATGGTTGGGTGATGGTTTTTCTCAGTTCGCCCAGACGAACATTCCTTTTCATAATTTACAACGTTCGGCGCTACATAACACAAGTACTTAAAAATCGGTGTCTAATACGCTAAGAGGCAATCGAAGATGACTGTTTTATCATTGCCCATCATTTTCGTTTCGATGACTGTTGTACGGTTTTTACGCCAGCTTCTTAGATTGTGTATTCGCGGACAGACACTTTCACTTCTGGTAGGCAGTTGACCTGTTTGTACACAGCCTTGTTATGTCACTGTGATCTCGTGAACCACCTGATGTTCCAGTAATGGCTGTTCGCTGTATAACACTCCTCTGGCTTTGTCCCGTTGTAAACGAAATCCTCTGAAGATTCCAAGTCAGGATGTGCATGCTGTCAGAACCTTCTTCACTGTCAATGTTCTCCCATATAATTTTAGTCTGAAAACCCGGAAGGGAAGAGACCGCTTACGAGAACTAGGCGAAGATATAAGTATAATATTAAAATGGATCTTAAAGTAAGTAAGCGTGTTTGGACTAGATTCACCTAATAATATTAAAATGTATCTTAAAGTAAGTAAGAGTGTTTGGACTAGATTCACCTGGCTCAAGGTAGAGACCAGTGGCGGACTTTTGTGAATGAGGAATGAACCTTTTGGTTCTAAAAACAGGTAATTTTTGACTGAATTAACTCTCAGGTTTTATTAGAGCATCCAGTTTCTTAAATAACGAAAAATGTATTAGTTTAACGATGCAAGAGGTCAAAGTAAAGTCACTCCGAACCCGTTTTCTCGTTAGACCAAGGTGTCAGATTTTATTGGGCCGTAAAGCGTCATTATTCTGGATGATAAATTGTAAAATGCAAAGAAGGAAATGAAGTAACAAAAGTCACGAAAAGTCTCAAAAGTGGTCGGTTTCGGCGCCAGAGATTCCAACCAAATACTCTGGGTTCGTTAGTGACTGTGATGATCTGTACATTCTTGTATCAGACGATATTATGAGAAAAAATAAGCATCTAATTGCACTGATAATTGTCATCCTGGCTTGCTACTAGCTGCGCCGGTGGACGGGACACGGGAGAGTCTGCCTTGTCTGGTTTTATTTACTAACACGGAGCTTTGTAAGATCTGAGGGCAGCCTGTTGGACAGTGAACCACTTAGGCTGTACCAACAGAGACTATTTGCTATTCGGGTGGTACACTGTTGAGGGTCTGACCACGTGTATACGGCCATTAACCATCTACATCCTAGTGGACACTATATATAGGTTCTTTATCGTGTTCATTCTGCCGAGGGAGGTACCTTGAGCTAAATTACCTAGGCTTATATGGTATAATAATATTGAAACGGAGCTCTAAACGTTACGCGTGAGGAGTATTCGATGGCTGGATGTGATTGTTAGGTGCAGAAACCATTACACTTAATTATATTTATTCGTTTGTTTCATAAGGAAAATATTACATGAAAAAAGTTTCTGTATTCTTTGAAGTTTTCCAAATTATGAAGTAATTATAAGTCCGTCGGACAAGGCAGATTTCGACTATACTGAGTATTATTATGGAGGTTTACACTTAAAGTTTGCTGGCATGTTTAATTTTTGTCAATTTCGGCCGAGTGTGACTTTTGCTTTCAGTGTAGATCTTCATTCTGTTAAACGACTTGTCGCATATAAGAAACACAACACGAACTATAATTCGGCGTAAAATCTACGCCTTGTATTTGAAACTCTTTTCTACACATTGTACATTGAACGAAAAACAAAGAAAATAATAGTAATCTGTGACTATGTACCTTGCCCAAAATATTGGTTTGGGCGTGGTGTCCAAGAAAAGACCACGGTTCCTGCTGGGAATCTACCCTCACTCGCCCAGTACTTAGCTATACCCCGTCTGACCAAAAATTGTCGATTTCGTGTGAGGTCGCTCGTGCATGTTTACATTGTACATTGGCTCTGGAGGGGAGCAGAGAAGGCAGGGGAGAGGCTGCATGTACAGTACTGTACAACTGTTTAGTTTACGTCACCAGTCAACAAGGCAGAGTTTCCGAAGTTCGCCATCGGCAGTCCTTGGTCAGACGGGACGTAGTCACTTTATTGACTGTACTTACCTTGATCTGCGAGTTCTTAAATACAACCAATTCGTACAGTTTAGTTTGCAGATGGCTTATGTGGGTCGGAAGACCATGCAAGAAATGCTCAGAACTGCTGTGCTGTTGTCCGTAAAACTTTGAACTGATAAAATAAAAAACAGTGCTTACGCGTTTTTTTTTAAGCCGTAGACACAGGCCAGTTCAACTACGAATACAACGAGACACAATCCGAGTCCTAGAAACAGGATAACAAACGCAGATTGTAGATGTGACAAAGTAAGTGTGGAGGATTCCTCTTGAATATCCATGGCACTGCTCAGTATCCAAGAAGTCTTCATCTCTCTCCACCATTGGTCCAGGAACCCGCCTTCGGCCGCGTGCCTGATGATGGTGTTGATCCTTTCCAGCAATGGACTTCTTTTAGTCAGGTAAAAAACGAAACTGTTTCTGAGGAACCCATCTTGGAAAGTGTAAAATAGAGATTTGCCTGGCTGTAGAACGTTGTCGCGAGAGATTTGGTATTCCATAAAATAGCTCGTCGCAAGCAGTGCGAAGTCTTTATTCTTGGTCATTCTTCGTAAACATTCGACTCCATAACCATCACAGTGTTTCCGATGACGCAGCATCTTTACCATTGTTGGATCAGTCAGATCGTTAAAATATTTGTCAAAGCCTTTATTGTAGCCGTACTCCATATCAGAATCTACCAGCTCTTCGACATTTTGAATTTGGTGTTCATAACCCGAATGAATCATGAAAGTTGTCAGGTATGAAAGATAGACGGTGTCCATATGAAGGCAATAGAACAGCCAAATCAGAAACAGCGATCTCAGCCTTGAAGTCCGGGGCATTTCTGACGCCGATACACCAAGCACCACCGCCCACACGTTAAGAAAACACTTGCAGAAGTTTGCATACGATGATGTATGTGATGAAACCGCGTTGTTATTGCGTGCTATTCGCCACAGTAGAAGAACAACTGCGAAACAGACCGCGCCAAAGGCTAACCAAGTAGTTGGTTTGAAGACCCGGAACACGCCTTTCCACTTCGCAACCTCTTCCGAACGTGGCAGGTTCCAGAATGAATAATTTTCAATGTAGCTGTTAGTGCATTCGAATACATTGCACAATTCTTCCTCCAAGAGCAAGGCTCCAAATGCGATATCAGATATATTCTTATACAAGTGACCTTTCATCCCTGACCACGAATTGTTTTCTAGCTTATCCCCCCACATTTCTTCACCTGGTGACTTCAGCTCAAAACTCATATTCAGCTTGTCCATTATGAATTGTAATAATCGACACTCTACCCCATCTTTGCATGCGACCTCAGAATTATCTGCCTTTGACAGGAAAGTGTATGGCTCTACTTGAAGTGCAGATATAGTAATATTACATCCTTTCAAATCGTAAGGAATCTTTAGAGGAAACAGAGTAGTGTTCGATACCAATTGACCGCCGTTCTCGAAAAGCCATGAATCCAGTGCGACCTCCTTCACATGGGTACAGACGTCACGTGACTGGTACGGGTACCAAGTATACAGAACCAGTGCTTGAGGAAGTTCTGGTACCACAACTACTGCATTAAGTACCTTGAAACTCCAAAGCAGTTCCAACACCTTTCGCACCAGCAGTCTGCCTGAGGAGTGCTTTTCAGTGGTCAGGACCAGGAACTGACCCCTCGGGTTCCACGATTTTCGTACCTTCAAAGCATTAAGCTGTTCCTCCAGGTTCCGAAGCACATCATTAAGCGTGACCTGAAAACACGTGATTAAGACGTAACTATGATCTTTGAGATGTGACGTTTCGTGTTTTATGGGTCCAGGTCTCGAGATTACAATTGGCCACCGTGTCTGAAGCTGCAGCCCCTTCACTATTTGATCATAAATCTTCGATTCCTCGTGAGTGTGGCCGATTGTACGATCATGTGTTGAGCTGGCACTGCAGTTTGGTACAGATATTAGTAACGTTCCGCCAGGAGAGAAGTGTCTTGTGCTTACAGTGACCGCACAGCGAACCAAGTGTAGCTGTAAGTTGTGATCTGTTTCGAAAATTGCCACATGAAAGATAAGCGAAATTACGAACAACAGAACTGGCCCTTTTGAGGAACAAGCCTCTGGTGTCCGCATCCTCGATACAAAGCTTGTACAAATGACGCGTTGGTCTTTAGGTGTCCAAGATCATAAAAAGAAAGAAACGAAACTACCGTCATTAGTACATCTAACTCCTCTGCTACTGAGTAAATAACGCCATCCACTTGCCGTCACGTAAAGTGTATATTATTTCCTCAACTCTGGGAAGGATTTTACTTTCTCAATTTGTTTTATGTTTCGTACATATATTTGATCATCTGCATTAAGAGTCCTAGAACAAATGTCCCTAGAAACTTCCGTTAATATTGATTGCAGTGGATAGTTTGGAGTATGGATAATGGTGACTGTTACCAAAACTTCGTTTGAGAGCCATTGCTTTATCGAGGTTTGTTTAGTCCACATAATGTGAGTTCCAGCAACTTCGTACCACGGTTTCAGTTTAACATGAGCAAGTCACCTCCTGAGTTACCACGCTCATAGACGAATGAATGGAGGTCGAACATTTCAATGTAGGGGGCAAGTATATGTACCACTTGCCTTGCCACAAAACAGTGTGTATTTTGCCCACGGAATATTTCTCTTGATTTTGTATGTTTCTCACTTTAAACAGCGAATATTTCCCTAAACAATATTGGCCAAGTGCTTTTTATAATGGGAACGAGTTGTGTTTTATTGCGTAGTTCTGTGAGTCAGAATAGAGACAGAATACTTTTCTATTTGTCATCTCGTCTAGAATTATTTTAGGCTCATCCGCGGCCACCATATGACATGTATGTGGCCTCAGGTTTTCCATTGCGCTCCATCATGTTACCGCTGTGCAAACCCGCTCAGTATGTTGTTTCAATTACCATAATACATTCCTTTCCTCTTTGGACGCTACTAACTTGTGTAACAAATAGTGGAACTGCAGGGAACAGAAAACACATTAACAACTTCGTCCTTAAAGACGTAATGACGTATTCACTGCCACAAAGAGAAATAACGTTGTGTGTTGGCTTTTGTGAATATTTGAAGATTACTTTCCAAGAGAGAATCAGCTACTTGGTAAGTGAAAGAAATGGAGGTGTCTCCCATATTACATTTCCAAAATGGTAAACGTCTCCAGAAATGAAGAGAACATAAGACAAAGACCTTCCAGAGAGAACAGTAAAGAGGAAACCGGAGAAATCGCTGTTCACAAGAACAGGAAAGGCCATCAGGCAACCGCCAAAGACTTTTGTGTTTTCTGTATGGCTACCTCTACTGTGAGAAAGGAAGTAACCTTTATAAAGTGATCTGTAGAGTGAGCGGTGTCTTCCAGAGGAGTGCAGCATTTTACCAAACACGTTCTTTGCTAATTTACATACGTTATTGACCTTTGTGATTAGTTATTATATGGTATATACAGGCCCAATGTTGCAAAGTTTATTTCACTACAGATGTGACACTGCATAAGAGTAAGAAATGGCGAATCTTCATACTTTTTTTAGTATTCGACACATTACTAAATTCATGGAGCAAAGTACTTGCTGAGAAAATAATAGTCGATCAGCTAGTGAAAAGTTCATTGCCGTGTTCACAAGAGCCCGCCATCGGAAAGCAGCATTTCGTAATCGAAGTCCACATATCGGAAGGTCATCACCCGATTGTCAGCCTTAATATAACAGAAATGGCCTCAACATGGCCAAGGTTCATTAGTGCTTTCTTGGAAATGCATGGTTCAGTGTTGATGTGGCATTTTGCGCGTTGCAAATCTCTTTGGTGATTGCTTACGTCATACCTGTAGCCATGTTGCTCATTCTGACTTAACAACTTTTGAGTATTTGTGCTTGTATAATGTGTTACTTTTGTGTGTTACAATACATTAGCCCTTGTGTGAGCAACAGTGTCTTATAGGAAAGGTACCTCACATTTCACTTTTCAGCTGCAATTGTTAATTTATTTTTCACTGAAAATTTTATCTCCTGTAGCCTGTGCTTGCGTTGAAAGACCTTAAAATTACCTCAACTTGACATGAGTATGGCACAAATATACCTACAGTTCGGCAGAAATAAGCGAGAGAAGAAATTAACTTGAAATGACCTTGAAAATTTGAAAGGCCTATATTCGGCAAACTATTAATGCGATATTGTCGTGACCTTGACATGACCTAGACCTAACCGTGACCTCAACTTGACATGAGTATGATGATTCTGATTGTTGATACACGTGAAGGCAGGAAAGTATTGTGTTCTGTTTCGCGTTGGAGACTTGGATCATTACAGAGGCGTTTCTTGTGGTTTAGACCTAAAGACGACTCTGGTAACGCCTTGGCCTATGCTTGTTTGGATAAGACGAACCGAGGTGTAAACTCGACTCGTTTTATTCCATCTGTAAATCATTTAAACAGAAACAAAGATGAGAAGAAGAATACATAACGGAAGAGTCTTGATTTTACGAGCTTGTAAATAAATAAAAGATGAAGTGGGTTTCCGATTTTAAAGTAGTGAGAAACAAAGAATTGTAGATAGAATGTCAATTTTTTCTATAGTTGCAATAATGAAGTGAGGCTGTCATCCTGTAACTCTTCTGCCAGAAAAACACGCGTTGTTGGGCATTCTTAGCTATAGAACTATTTATTATAGAATTTATTTAAACAAATATTTGACTGGCGTTTTCTGGTTTATGGTACCATGTTGTCTCGTATGTGATTACTATTGTTTCGGGGGGATTTTGACCCATTCTTCAGCGTGGAAGTTGAGCTGGAGGAGAGACGTACCTCGGAAACGTTGGTAATCACCTTCAGGTACACACAGCCTCATAACCAAGAGAATCGCAAAGTAAATTTTTACAGCACTGAAAACAAAATCTCACATCTGCGCCGACCTTTGTAGTTAAAGCAACGTCGATAAATAAATCACGAAGGCCATGTTGTCTTGTCTTTGTTAGTCTTCTAGGTTGTGACGTTGGATGGACTTGTAGTAGGTCATACCCAGAAGACCAATATCGTTGTCCGCTTTCTTAGAACTTAAAAATCTCATCTATTTGCCTAAAGAAAAACCACAGTTGACATGAATATTATTTCCTGACCCAAACAGCATCTTACCAACCCTTTCGTAAATGCTGCGTGCTGACACCTATAGCACAATTTTCTTTTAGATTCACAACTGTGAACCTATCCGATACTCTCATACGGCTGCACCCGTGAATGTAACGGGGAACGTACAGTTCCTCTCGACCGTCGGTCGCCTTCCTCTGTCTCGTAATGAGTTGCTTTTGTTGGGAAGAAAATGCGACCAGAATGCAGAGTGGAGCGTCTCCCAGCCAGGTGCCTGGGATACGATTTTGGACACTGGATGACCGTGAACCACAGAGGCGACCGACCCTCCAGGTCATGGCCCGCATATTGCATGTCCGCCAAAAAAAAAAAAAAAAAAAAAACAGGCCATGGAAACTTTGAAGATCACGAAGGCCAGTGTTACAAGAATGTAAGCCACAAGTTTCATCGTACGTGTTCCAGTTTCCATGTGTAGTCAATAAACTAAGGGCAATAGAGAAACTGACAGTCACTTAGCTAGCCAAAAAAATCCCCGCCTTTTTATAAAATCTTAAGATTCACCCTATTCTTATATCGTCATATCCTATTTAACATTCGTTTTAATATTATCTTTCGATCTCTGGCTAGGTATCCCACTCAACTGGTGTTTTGTACAGAAATTGTATATGCATTTCTCATAAATGTTTCTTATTATTTGTGTCATTATCATAACATTTGCCTGGAGCGACTGACGTAAACCATAAAACATTGAAGAGTCCTGGGCTGTGTTGGGGAAAATGCAGATTTTATTAATGTTAAAGCAGGTGGTACGTATAATGATTTAAAGGGTTATAAAACAGGGTTGTGAAAGCGAGTTTATAAGGTGTTGGAAAATAGACTGTCATGGACGATTTAAAGGTACTGACCCAGAATTTGCTTGGAGTAACTGAGTAAAAACAGAATAAAAGTAATGATAAACAGTAACAGAGTCGAGATTCGAAACGAATACTCTCCAGAGTGTTGCTGCTTACAGCTTGGTCGGTTTTGTAATACGCAGGCGATCAAATTACTACATTCGTTGTTGTTATAAGTGTTAAATTTGTCATGTACGTAACTGTACAGTCCACAATTTAATTACTGCAGATGTTATAGGCTGTTCCGGTCTGAACAGGTCAATGGCAGTACAAGGTCGTTGCATCACCTTTGTACTGCCGACTGCCATGCTCAAAATACAGGGTGTTACCGGAATGACGTACACAACTTGTGTATCTGATAAGAAACTGAATGTGGAATAAAAGATCTTGTGTAACATGGGCCGGGCGACGCTTCACAAGCGTTGCAGTCGATAATGGAGCGGATAACCATGATTGTATTGTGATGGCGCTTTTAGCAAGAAACGTATAGTCTAAAAGCTTGGGTGATATTAAACAAGGTGTTAGGACGTTATGTCGTGTCGTCTGCTAGATTTCTGTATAAATGCATCCAAGTGGGAGCTGTCTCTTTTAAGAACATATTTCAGTCACGGTGAAAATATCAAAGTGTCTCTGGTTACTGTGACAACTGTAATTAAAGGGCATAAAATCAGAACAAGAGCGGAATAAGTGTACAAATATTATTAAAACAATGATTTTTTTAGAGAGTATAATTTTCTGGTACTGTTTCCATGTGTGCCCCGCCCCTCCCAAATGCTCAAAACTTTTTAATCAATTGACACATTTCATGAGAGTTGGTATGTACGTCAGGTCACTGAAGGTAACGTCACTGTTGTCATTTTTAATTTCCAGTTATTATTAACGACGGAATGGACGGACGGTGTTAGATCCGCGACTCTAACTCTTCTGAAACATCGGTCGTTATTACCACAGTACATCGCAGATATTTGTTACAGAGTGGAAGGATAGTGGCGTTTCGGACGTGAGGCTTGCTAGTCGACTCTGGTTCATCGACGCCGTTCTGAATGACGGATGCCACACGTGCTGTCCTGTGCTGAGTAAAGACACTCACCTGTTTATCCCTTTCATGCACTGAAGACTTCTGAGAAAGAGAGAATCTTTCTAATTTTTTTCCTTTC